TAGGAACACCTACATTAAAAAAGAAATTTATAAAAATCAAAACCATTGTGATGAAACTCATAATCATCCTTATTGCGGCTTGCAAGAAAGTGTTTTACGGCCCCTCATCATCATCGGTGCCTTGCAGACTGGCGTAGGCGATCATGGACCTCCACTTCACTCTGTCTTGCGTTGCAGCGATGGTGTCTGTTGTTCTTGCTGTTTCCAGCCAAGTTGTCAATCTGTCCAGTATCTTTTCCCTCTGTCTGCCTCTATCTCTCTTTCCATCAAACTTGCCTGTTGTTACTTTATTCTCCAATACTTCTTTCCAATTTTGTGTGTCCAATGAACATTGCCTGTCGCTTTCGTGTATTCGTCATAAGCTGTCGTCTGCAATTTGCTTCAACCAAAACATCTTTATTATTTTTCTAGCTGTCCATGGGACACGCAGCACCCGTTTTACGGCCACTACTTGACATTAAAATTCAGAGTTAGTGTAGCCCTCCTTCCCTCAACCAAGACTAGTAACATAGCTGAGCTACGTAGGAGATGATGCTGGTATGTCTCTGGCAGCAAGGAATAGGAAATAGAAGCCTTATGTTCTCAAAGAGCAAGTCATGTTCTAAATTGCTATTAAAACAGAAATTGAGAATCTTAAAAAATCTACTTGAAATCTTTTTATAAATCTTTTGTGGATTACTTAAAAAAAAATTTTACTTGAAATCTTTTTATTCTTTTGTGGATCTATTCTTTAAAAATTTACTTGAAATCTTTTTATTCTTTTGTGGATCTATTCTTTAAAATTCTACTTGAAATCTTTTTTTATTCTTTCGTGGAACACCTAATACAGTTCAGGCTCACCCAGAATCTATCTCCGGCGGCTCCTCGAGTAATTTGTGTATGAGTCCGATGATCTACATGGTCTGACAGTTCCTGCACTAAATGAACCTGCGTGGTCTCTGAATGTTTTGAAAGGTAGCATGTACCACCACAACCTTTGGCCTAATTTCTTTGTGTGCTAAATTCGTCGATAGATGAATAATTAAATAGGTCAACTGAAAACATAATTTGTAATTCAAACCCCAATGAACAAAGACGATTCTTTCTTGCCTACCAACGAAGACCACATGAAAAATTTAAGGAGCAGTTTGCTCAGGCTAGAAAAATCAATGTCTGTCTTGGAATCCCTCTCATTCAAAGAGTGGGTAAATAAGTTGGCGGATGTCGTCATTATCAGAAACTGTTTTTAGAATTTATTCTATGAAGTATTATTACCCAGACTTTAACACGTTGTGAGTAGCTCAAATAATTATACGCTGTCGGTTAAAGCCACCTTAAACAGGCACTTAGCTCTTTAAAAAAAAATCATTTTTAGCATTAAAAACGTTTGACACGGTTGGTGTGTTAACAAGGGAGAAAACTGATATTTGCACAGAGATAACCAAGAAGAAATTGAGAGTTTTAACTAATTTACAGGTATAAAGAAACTGAGGACTGGCACAGGCACTGTGGTTCTGCAGATATATTTATTAGTTTTGAGTTTGAGTTAATAGAAGCACATCGACACAAAAACGTTTATATAGTGCAAAGAAGAAGCAAGACAGAGAGACAGACACAAAAGAGTGAAAGAAAAAAAGTCGGACCTACAAGTGGCACCTGAACACCACCCATGAAGAGAGATTTGTATGAGGAGAATTTTTGAAGATGAGCAACTCAAGCAACCATCGCAGCAACTCAGTTGTATCAGGTAACAACTCTGATCTCCTGGCCGTTCTAAGTGTATATTTGTCAGCCCCCCTGACCCTAGCCGGATGTATCGCCAACGTGATCAACATCGCCGTGTTCTGTCGAATGGACCGACGACAGACAATTAACATTAGTCTTCTCTCCATGGCCGTCTCCGATCTCCTGGGGTTGTTGGGGACGCTATGGCGCTGTATCTGCTTCCTACCGGAGGTGGTCAAGTCACCGAATTTGTCGTTTCACCCACTTAGCATGGCTTATGGTGTTGGGGATACTGCCCGCTTCATCTTCGGAAGAATCACAGCCTGTCTGACTTTGTTGATATCCGCTGAAAGATGTTTATGTATTCTGTTACCCTTGAAAGTGAAGACTCTCATCACTACTGGGAAAATCAGAGCCATTATTATTGCTATTTACATCTTTGTGACGGCTTCTAATTCTTGGATATTCTATCTTTATAGATTTGTGTGGGAACATTCAGACAAAAGAAACAGAACCTTTCTCACATTTAAAGCAATTAAAAACAAGAGTCGCATTGAGGTGCCTCTGATAGTGGTGAACAATTTATTTCTTCAGTGCGCCCTCTCAGCCGGGATTATGGTCTTTACGGCAATTCTGGTGGTCAAAATGAAACAACAGTCAAAATGGCGGCTGTCTTCCAGCAAACAGACGGCGGCGTCGGAAACCTCAGCCAAGCGTGACGACAAGGTCGCCAAGACAGTCACTGTCATCTCTGTGACTTACCTTCTGTGTTATTTCCCGAGCACAGTCAACATCATGTGTGTGAACCTCGTGCCGGGCTACAAAGCGAATGGACGTCATAGCGAGCTGTTTCTTAACATATCTACAGTCGTCTACTTACTTGAGATTCTCAATTCCTCCGTCAATATATTTTTCTACTGGGAGTTAAGCACCCAGTTTCGCAAAGAAATGAAGCGTATGCTCCGATGTGCTACAACAACAACAACTTGAGTTGACCATTGCGTGGGGCTTTCTGTTAACTCAGTTGGTATCATGATAGTCTTAGGAACAGACGGCTTTAGTTCAAATCCTCAACAGGGTGTTCTTGCACTCGGGTTATTTTGTGGGCTTTTCAAGGCTACCAGCCCACCTGACTCGATCCTACCAGGAGAAGTTCAATTCGGATGTCCCACTTCTTACTTCTTAAATAATAACCTAAACAAGTTGAAAGAGGTTTTACACCCTTTCACTTTGTTAAAATAAAACAATAGGTCCTACTTGCATACATTTTTGGAAACTTCAATATCTCATGTTTGCTTATATATTTCTTTCTTTACTTTACTTTTTCTTTTTTCGTCCCCTGGTACCGGTGTGTGTCGCTGGGAGAAACAGTTGTGTGTCATTCGATGTGAGTCGAGTGGCTTGGAGGAGGGTCAGGTCGAGGGCTCCGATGGTGTCCTTTACAGAGTCAGTGTTCCCCACCCCCACCCCAGGGCAGTGCAACTGACGAAAGTGTCTTTATGCCATTCCCAAAGGGGGGATAGCAACATGTTCTTATGCACTGTAGAATTGTAAATGGGCTGATTTATCAATGTTATGCTCTTAGTGTGTCTGAGCAATATAGGGGGAACTACTCCTTTTTCTTTCCTCATCCATACTATCGTCATTTTCCTCTACTTCTTTTGTACGTTTGTCACTCTCTTGTGAACTGATATTTCCGGGGTGCCTTGATAGTCGAAGCAGACTTTGTGCTGTTGAGGCTAGAGAGGAGAGCAGAGTAAGTCTGATTCTCCGTTTGGACCTATCTGTTGACATCCACCCCTTGGCGCTCTTGATATGACCGTATGCAGTTGCGAGTGTCGTAAAATCTTACTAAAACTAAAACCTGCTAAAAAAAACTAATCTAAGAGTCAATCTAATGACGTCTTGGTCTCCCTCTGTTTCTCCAGTCAGAGTGTCTTATGTTGTAGCACCTATACATGCCAGCTTGCACTGTATGCTTCACAAGAAGTTGAAATTGTTTCAGAATGCTATCAGGTCTGCTGGGGTAATAGTATAGATTGTAAAGCGCATAGAGCTTGCTGTTGAGCAGGAATTTGCACCATACAAATTAATGCTATCTATTAGACTCACGGTAATGATCGGTCAGGGAGCATTCTTGGAAAGGACCAAGTGGCCATGAATCTATTCTCTGTCGTTCGATAATTATGGCAGAGGACTAGTGTTGTTCCTACTGTGTCTTACTCACCGCCTCTTTCTGGATTTGATTTTTTTTGGTAAGTGTTTTACTGCGTTCGTAACTACATGAGGTCATATGAGCTCGTGGGACACATTAAACATTCTCAGTTGGTAGGAAATTTTGAATTTGGCCCTGGTTGCGGCCGAAGCCTACTCTTATCGATTTTAGACTACCAAGGGATCTTTAATGTGTACAACTTGCACACAGGACCTCCTAGACTTTTTGCCCTCTTCCGAGAAGGCTAGGTGTTGATCTTTCCTTCCAGAAGATCAGGGGTGTGGCTGAAAGACAGCAATAAGAATGAGCCAAGGAGTAGCAGTAGAAAGGCTGCAGAAAGAGCCAGGAGCCCAGAGGAGGGGCAAAGGTGGTGAGAGGGTTAGGGACAGAAAGAGGAGACGAAAGCAGACGACAGGACATTGTTAGAGAGCAGAAAATGAGGTGAAAGGAGATAATTTTAGCGAACAAAATTTTCCGTCGCCACCGGGAGTCGAACTCGAGACCTTTGAATGAGAGGCGAACACATTAACCTTTTGGCCACGAGAGTCCCCGGATTTGGTCTGTCCTAGCCCTATCTATTGCGCCTCCCCGACATTTCCATTTCCAGAAGGTCATTATTCTCTCTTGTATGATTTTCAAGGACCAAGTTTGGCATCGGTAAGTTAATGTTGGTAGAAATATATACAGCAATTATGGGCTTTGCCAGACAGTGTTGTTACGATGTAAAAAAAAATGGGGTGGAAATGGGGAGTGGCTGTTTGTACAGGTGACCGTTAGAGAAGGTTCGACTGTACTTGTTTTCTAGCTATTCACTGGGGGCTCTCGTTCTCTAGAGGTTAAGGTGTTCGCCTCTCATTCAATAGGCCACTGGTTCGAATCCGGATAGCGACGGAAAATTTTCTTCTCTAACAATTTTCTCTTTTCACTTTCACATCCTTTCCCACTCTCTAACAATGTTCTGTCTTCTGCTTTCGTCTCCACTTTCTGCCCCCACCCCCTCACCTCCGATGCCCCCTCCTATGGGCTCTTGACTCTTTCGGCAGCCTTTCTACTGCTACTCCTCAACTCCTTACAGCTGTCTTTCAGCCACACCACTGATCTTATGGTAGATAAGATCTACACCTAGCCTTCTTGGATAAGGGCGAAAAATCTCGGAGGTCCCGTGTGCAGGTTACACACGTTAAAAATCCTTTGGTGGTCCAATTCCGACAGGATAAGGCTTCGGCCGCCACCCAGCAACATTCAAAATTACCTACCAACTGTATGTCTAATGTATCCTGCTTGCTCATATGACCTAATGCAGTTGCAGACGCCGTAAAACACTTACCCCCCCCCTCCCTCCAAAAAACACACAACAACATCAACAACCAACAACAACAAAAAATAAAACAGCAGCAACAAAACAACAACAACAACAACAACAACAACAACAACAACAACAAAAACAAAAACCAAACACCTATTAACTGACCTTTGAGGCACATCTCCCCCTGGGTAGTGTCCCCCACCAGGTAGCCAATGGGAAGTAACTCTGGCAGCTCAGGGTCCTTGGTCCGGCTTACCTCCCTCCTGACTCTTTGACATCCACTCCGGAACGTGGACAATAAACATTACATTAAAATTTGACAATCGTCAAAAACTCGAGTAAACTTTTTTTGCAGCATCTCTTTTGACAACACAAGCCAAATTGCTCAAGGGCCAAATGAAACGGTTTGATTTATATCATCAAAAAAAGATTACTGGGGGGGGGTTGCTTTGTATGAATATGTAGATAAATATATTATGAAATATTTTCTTGTACTTGCTCTGTTAAAAGTGATTAGTTTTCTGTCCTAAAATACGTGGCTAACTTTGAAAATGAATATTTATGTAACCGCTTGATAAAGTAAAGGTATGTGCAAGAACTGAACAGCGTAGAAAAATGATGCAAAAACACGTGAATGTCATTGGATAGAAAAGCGTGTCAGTGTCATAGTTGTCAGGAGGGAGTAAGTTTCAGCACACGCAACTCAGTTACGAGGACACACCCGTGAATACGTCTTTTACCAGGTGCACAACACCCTTTCGGTAACCTTCAATATTCAAGGTCACAAATAATTCATTTTCATTGTTTTTGATATATTATAGACACAAAGAAAATAATTTATTGAAAATTGAACCATTTATCTTATATAGGTCACTCTTAAAAATATCTTAAGATCAGTGAAATAAACTATTTTTAACACCTTGCAAAACTTCTGCAAACTCCACCAAACAGTTCATGAGACATAGCTGTCCAAAGTTGGGAACACGCGTTTGAGGACGGCCTATCGTTCACTATAGCTTCTGTGACTGCCGGTGCGGTGACCAACCAACAATCATGACAGTTGATCGCACTGTCTGCGTCTTATGACTCATGGTAGCTTCAATGGCCATTAAAAAAGAGAAAAGAAACGAGGTGGTGTAGTAGCAGGATTCACGAAAGTACTACAAAAGACAAAAAAAGATTGAAAGTGTTAAAGATTGAAATTATGACAGATTGAACTGCATTCGTTAGAAGAGAGAGAGAGAGAGAGAGAGAAAGAGAGAGAGAGAGAGAGAGAGAGAGAGAGAGAGAGAGAGAGAGAGAGAGAGAGAGAGAGAGAGAGAGAGAGAGAGAGAGAGAGAGAGAGAGAGAGAGAGAGAGAGAGAGAGAGAGAGAGAGAGAGAGAGAGAGAGAGAGAGAGAGAGAGAGGGACTTTGGCTCGTTTTGACTGCCAGGGTTACATTTCTCAACAAATTGTCAAGTTATTATATTTTGTAATTTTTTTGAGGTTTCAGCACTCGTTTTTCAGCCTCTGTCTATGACCCTTCTGTTATAATATATATATATATATATATATATATATATAATATGTATTTATAGAGAGAGTCATTTGTTGTTGTATACTCTTCTGTCTGTTAGCTGTGCTTTGTTGCTCTGACTTGTGCCTTCATTGACTAGTTGAACCCTTGACTGCAATAAGCTCACTGGACATTATTTATTTAAGGAACTCTTGACTTTAAAAAAATCCCAAACTCATAGGACATATGATATATTATGATTCCATAGACACAGTTTAGATAAATCCGCGCTGAGAAAGAGGCAACACCCCATCAGAAAGACCGCCGAGGTACAGATTTTCCAGCCAGTCCGAACAGTCACAAATGGGGTTTTGTCAGCCGCTGTAGTTCCTCCCTACATCATCACTCTTCCAACAGCATCAGCTCTTGCCTGACTTAGGCATTGAGGAACGAACCTTTCATTTGTGAGGCGGCGTGGTGGAATCAGGCTCTCGTCAAAAAAAGAAACTTGCATTTTTCCACAGGTGTGTGAATTTTTATCAAATTTTTGTTTTTTGGCTCAACACCTTTCATGCCCTTTGAAGAACTTATTTCTGTGTGTTTTTCTTCTTCTGAAAAACGTTGATTAAAAGCACAAAAAATGAAAAATTTCTGTTACCACCGACTCTTAGGCTAAGGAAATAACTAATATTTGGCGACCATTTTCTCACTAATTTTACCTCTAAAAACAGGTAACCCCACCTCCTTCATTCGCAAATTTTGTATTCAAGATAAATGGAATTTCTTTTTCATCCAAATAAAGACAAGCGAACAAGTTATATGATGATACCAATAACTCGATGTGCCCAAAATTTGACGAGAGCCTGATTCCACCACGCTGCCTCACATTTATTCTCCGGAATACTCGTTTTCTTCCATCTTGACGTTCCAAAAGAAATCTGGATTCGTCAAAGAACATGTGGTTATTCCATGC